TTATTAAACGAATAATCTGATACAAGTACCAAAAAGTATTGGCCTCTAGGGCTTACACCAACACAAACATGTGACCACCAAGATTGTCAAGGCATCAAGGTTCTTTCTTGTGCAGGTTGCAAAGGTGTCGACAAGTTCTTAATGGCACACCAAAATGTTCCTTCCAATCATGATTCCTTTTGTAATTACACAGTAAGTTCATGATTTGCCTGTACTTCAGGGTCTAATGGCAAGCTGTAGCAATAATTCAAAATCAAAACAAAAACGGGCATGAAACAAGTTGCCTTTCCTTAGATTTCAACGACATGAGCTTTAGGAAACGATAATTTGTAACAATGTGTCCTTTGCGAATTGAAATCTTCTATTATACTTAGACTTGTCTCGCAACTTTGAATGGCTTTAACATTCATGTACTCCTCTTGCACTCTAGATGAACTTGCCTGAATCTATATAATTATAATAATGAAGTATTTGAGTGATTTGAGTAATAAATCTCGGGGTGGCTGAAGATGATATATGCCCTTTAACTTTTGCAATTTAAATTCCAATTGGTTTTCATGTGTGTTTGAAATGATCTCAGGAGCATAGGGAGCATATGGACTATGCTTTCGCAAACTGATATCTTTGCCTTGAAAAATTTAAATAGTGTACTCCAATTAACTTGGATTCCAAATGATAAACTCGAATAGTCTTGAAAATCATCACTTAATTTGTATTCGGGATGAACAGTAAACATAACTTTACCATTTGGATTTACTTTGCCTTTGTTACTCAAAGTGAACTCATAGTTCGAACTTCTTAAATTCTGTAGCGAGAATGATATGATCTTATGAAACACCCTAAATTTTGAATATGAAGAGATCCCAAATTCTTTGTGTTTAGATTTGTGACTGAATGGTAAGGCGCCTTGAACTTCATAATCACGGAATTATTAACTTCTAGAGGATAATGTGCTTAAGATCACGACCCTCCCTTTTCATCATGACCCGTGTCTTGTACCAAATCAATTGTCCTGATAAGTCCTCTTTCAATCAAAGGCCTTGATAGCACATGCGTCACAAAACCGATCTTAAATCGTGAGATATAGCCAGGGATTTCGTTCAAGATATCCTTTAAAAGTGTTGATCCAAGGGTGGCGGAAGGAGAAACAAATTTTGTGAGGATTAACGTCGTCTGGGCTTAAGGTCAATGTACCCGCATACACTCGTTAGTCGCACATAAAAGTAAAGAGATAAAACGTAAGAAAACCAAAAGGAGGCGGAATCTTAGGGTCAAAAAATAGGGTGCAACACCATGGCAGATTAACCGGATGCATCATACTTTTTTTTGGTATGCTTCTATCTAGTGTATTTGTATATTCATGAATAAGTCAATTTCATGGTTCATACTTTGCACTGTGCATTTCAGTTTTTGTTAGTTACCATTTTTTTACGTCTTTATAAAACATTACTTTTAGTACCGAGCTCGTCTCTCTAGAAGATAACTTGTTTTTTTTATATCGTGCTTGAAGTTTTATTAGACGTCTCTAGGGATCACGCCCGACCAAGGGTAGATACCCATTCCCTTCCCCTAAGTGAGAACCTAGTTTGAGGTCGACGTAATGTGAACTCACCACTACCTCTGGAGTTACCAGCTAACCGAGGGGGGGGGGGGGGGGGGGGGGAGGTGAGACCGTAATTCTCAATTTGTGGTTCATTGTCTTTATATACATATTGGCATTGTGGGGCTTTGATTGCTTTAATCGTACACCGATGGCATTTGTGACAACACCCTTGAGTCATTTCTGGTGGGGCTTTGATTGCTTTGTTCACATACTGGTGGAATTTGTGACAACACCCATGACTCATTTCTAATTTTTATCATCACAAAGAAAAGAGAGTTTAGCAAAAATTTATCTATTCTTTGATAAAATAACATTGTACATCACATCAACATTTGTGCTTTACATATGTAGAAAGTTAAATTTAACCAAGAGGCATAGCTACTACTTATTTGCCATTGGGGGCATTGGTAGGGAACATGGTAGCTGGCTTAGGATTTCATTCAGAGTCTTCACTTGTAAATGTCCATCCAGAATAATATGCTTAATTTCCAGTGGCTTGATTTTCATGTCTCTTAACTGCCTGATGAGGGAGGCAACATTGATCTTTACAACCTTGTCGTTCTCTTTCTTTTGATCTCATTGCAGAGCCTCATATATCTTTTTTTCCCTCAAATAAGTCGACATTCATCATCACCGGATCGTCAAGGACGTTGTGATATTTCAACTTGAGATGAACCAGAGAAGCCACTATCATTAAGGTTGATGCAAAGGGTATTTCAAGAATAAAAGTATAGACATTTTTAATGGTAACCACCAACAATTGTGAGTCAATCGTCCTGATGTCTCTTCCTTCTCCTATAGTGACCATTAGTTTGAAATACCCCTAGGGGCAGGTTATTGTGATATTGAAAGCTTGCAATTTGGATCCTTCATTGGGCCACAACTTCTTCTTTTTTTATCCCTAACTTTTCAAAAAGGTATAAGTACATGATATCACAAGAGCTTTTGCCATCAAAAAGTATTTGTGAGACGTCAAAAAATTGTGATGGTAGCCGTTATCACTAGAGGAATGATCTTGTTCAGGATCCCTCATTCCTTTTCACTCTCACTAAATCCAAGGATAGGTCTTTATAGTTTCCTAATCGAAATATCCCCCTATTTTTTTGTTTACGACCATTAGCTTAGTGATTTTTCTCTTTATCATCCACTTAAAAGGGTTTCTTGCTCTTGGAATAGCAATAGTAATATATGCAATGTATTGCTACTTCCCATAGTCTTCTTGAGGTTTTTGGCTCATACGTCATCTCATACTTTCTTGGCCTTCATTATGGTGATCATCTCAGATGTACTCAGTAATTCACCTCTTTTTAATTAACTGTTGTATTGTATTCTTCAAATGGATAAACTCATTTGTGTTGTAGTCCTGACTCTTGTGGAAATAATAATATTTGGATATGTCCATTTTAGATGATTCTTTGATCGGGTGAGGATTCCTGTTTTCATCATCCTTGAACTTCGTGTTCGCACGTTCTTATATCACTTAAAGGGGAATGTAAGTGTTGAGTATGTATCAAGGTCCGTAATCCCCTTCTTATCTATGACGACGACTATCTCTTTCTTGTGCCCGATTATTTCGATGTTCCTTGCTCCCCGATCTCTATTTCATTTCTCACCCAAGAGTTCTTCTTCATAATCTATATATGGTTGTGTTCTATTTAATAAACTATTAAGGCTATAAGCTCCTTCAAGCCCTAGGTTTTCTCAGAACATGGAGTTCGACCTTAATCCCTTCTTAAACATTCAACACTTTAGCCTATCATTTGTACCCCCCACCGCCACCGCAAAATTTGTGAAGTGGTCAATGTACTGTAGTACGACCATGTTCGTGGGTTTTCACTTTTGTGCAGTATACTGGGTGGTGAAAGTATCAAAGAGGTATGTTCGGTTGTCTACATGCTCGTTTGGATATCTAACTCTGTTATACCTATATAGCTTCAGAGGCTTCTCAAATGACCCCCCATAATCCTGATATCAAGGCTGCAGGAAGATGATTTTTTTCCTGCTCTAGAACCAAAACATATCCGTCATATATTTCCTTTATTCAAGGATGCCGTGCCGGTGAATGATGATGATGATGATGAATTCCTAAGAGAGTATGTCTATCTCTTCTCCCTTTAGGATCGAGTGGAGGAGTTCTATTTCTTTGATGCTGGTTGCGACCTCAGGGCCTCTCCCCATGGTGCTATTATACAAATGGAGGCTGACTTAGGTATCATGGCTTGATTGCCTTGGGAGACCGTCTCTTGTACAATGCTATTCCTTGGTGTAACGTGTTACAGACTCCTTTAAATTCTAAAATAGCCTATTTACTCAAAGTTGTGAATTCTACTAGTGCACCAATTTATAGACACTTTTTAGTCATTCGATGGATCCCTGTACCTAAAGATTGACTTGTAAAAGCTAAAGGCAAGAGACCATTTCTTGTCTAGGTACAATAGGTAGTGAACGAGGCCAATGTGATGAGACATCTCAGTCGAACATGATCATGTTGCGTAGGGTTAGAATGAGATGCCACCTTAACTGGATCAACTTCTGTCTAAGGAGGTAGAGGCGGAGCTCTAGTGGCAGTAACAATAATTTGCCGTTGAACGACATATTAAGTGGCTTTGGATTCCACCATATTTAATGAATTTAAGGATGTATCCGATGGAGGGGATATTTGAAACTTCAAGGAAAAAGATCAAGAAACATAGATTAGGATCAGAAGAAATCTGAAGTAAAAATTCACGGGAATCAGATGCTATTTTTCAGAGACGGTGTTGTTGTTCCGTTATGAAACTAGAATGTTCGATGAACGGTGCAATAAAATCTTGGTACAACAAAGCAAGTTCTAAATGCGACGGGAAGGAAACTGATCTGTAAGATTAACACTTCAACGTTTAAGTAAGTGAGAGAATGAAAAGTAACGTGAAAATGAGAATGAATTTAAATACTTGAAATTATATGCTTTTTCCCTTCATTTAATTTAATGGAAACAATTAAAACTGACTATGTGAGATGAGACACATTGTTGAGATAGATTTTCAATCTAGTCATACGGTGATATAAGTTTTTGGAGAGTAAAATTACTTGTCCTTTAATGAATAAGAGATCACCTTTATAAGTTTTTGGAGAGTAAAATTACTTGTCCTTTAATGAATAAGAGATCACTTGATCAGGATGATTTATTGCACGGTGATGTTAATTACTAGACTTTTTGCTTTGGGCATTGCAAAATATCCATAACCAAGAGTTCAAATCTATTTTTTTTCTTAAGTGGATAATTAATATATATTCACTAGAGGAACCTCTCAATCATATATTCATGAATCATTTTCATAATAAAACACTAGAATATTTCTCCAAAGAAAAAAAAAAACATACACACAAGTCACTGACCACCATCAATCAAGCAAACATGTACAAACAATTACAAACCAACTGCTGTCGAAACCTCAAAAACACCTTCATCAGACCCATAACAACAATAACAACATCCGCAACACCAGCAGCACCTTCAAACACTTTCATACCCATTTTCGACAATGCCGCCAACTACATCTACATTAACAATCGCCAAATTGATAGTTTCATTAAGTCAAAAAACCCAAACTCAGCACTTGAACTGTTCCACAACATGCAAATCCGTGACACTGTCACTTACAACTTGATCATTTCATCCTCTTGTTTGCCACCCAAGAAAGCTTTTCATATCTATGCCGAAATGGGTTTGTTTGGAATAAGAGAAACTTCAACTACTTTTGCGTCTGTTATAGCTCTTTGTACCAATGCTGGGTTTTGCATAGAAGGTTCTCAGGTTCATTGTAGAGTTGCAAAGTTTGGATTTTTGAACAATGTGTTTGTTGGTGGTGCACTTGTTGGGTTTTATATGGGTTTTAAGCTATGTGGGGTTGCAGGTGAACTGTTTGATGAGTTGTCAGAGAGAAACTTGGCTGTTTGGAATGTGATGCTACGTGGGTTTTGTGAAATGGGACATGTGGAGGAGTTGCTTGGGTTTTACTCTAGGATGCGTTTTGAAGATGTGGACCCAAATGGGGTTACTTTTTGCTATTTGCTTAGGGGGTGTAGTAGTAATAGAAGTTTTCATGAAGGAGAGATGCTTCAGAGCTGTGTGTTGAAGATGGGTTTGATGGAATCTAATGTTTTTGTTGCTAATGCGTTGGTGGATTTTTATTCTTCACGAGGGTGTTTGGTTGGTGCAAGGAAGTGTTTTGAAGGGATGAAGGTTGAGGATGTTATTTCATGGAATTCTTTGGTTTCTGTTTATGCAGACAATAATTTGGTCATTGAAGCTTTGGAGTTTTTTAATTTTATGCAAACCCGTGGACATCGGCCGGCGGTTCGTTCTTTAGTTGGGTTCTTGAATTTATGTAGTAGAATTGAGGATATTGGTTTGGGGAAACAGATTCATTGTTGTGTTGCGAAATTTGGTTTTGATGAAAGTAGTGTGTTTGTTCAATCTGCTTTGATTGATATGTATGGAAAATGTTTGGACATTGAGAGCTCTGTGGCTGTATTTGAATGCCTTCCTAAAAGAACTTTGGAGTGTTGTAATTCATTGATGACTTCTTTGTCTCATTGTGGTGCCACTGAAGATGTAGTGGAATTGTTTGGCTTAATGGTTGATGAAGGTCTTATGCCAGATGAAGTTACCGTCTCGACAACACTGAAAGTGTTATCCGTGTCTGCTTCGGCAAGTTTCACCAGCTCTCTGTTACTTCATTGTTTTGCATTGAAATCTGGTGTTGAAGGAGACACCGCGGTTGCATGTTCCCTTATGGATGCATATTCAAGATGTGGACATGTGGAACTTTCTCATCGGATTTTCGAGACTGTTCGAACACCGAACACTATTTGCTTTACTTCTATGATCAATGGTTACGCCCGGAACGGAATGGGAAAAGAAGGTCTTTCGTTGCTTCATGCTATGATCGAGAAAGGCATAAAACCGGACAAAGTTACCTTCATATGTGCATTAACGGGGTGTAGTCACACCGGCCTGATTGAGGAAGGAAGATTACTCTTTAACTCAATGGAATCTCTTCACAATGTTCATCCAGATCGGCGGCATTTTTCATGCATGGTGGATCTTTTATGCCGTGCAGGACTTCTACACGAAGCCGAAGAGTTTCTTCTAAAGGCACGTGGAAAAGGAGATTGTTTCATGTGGAGTTCTTTACTCCAAAGTTGCAGGGTTCACAAGAACGAAGAGGTTGGAACAAGAGCAGCAAAAATGTTGGTTGATCTAGACCCAGATGATCCAGCAGTGTGGTTGCAAGCTTCGAATTTTTATGCCGAGATTGGAAAATTTGACGAATCCAGGCAAATAAGAGACGTCGCTATAGCAAGGAAGATGACTAGAGAAATCGGCTGTAGTTTGATTGAGATAAGACAATGACAACACAAAATAAAGTTCTTGAATTGATGAATCATCTTGCTCATTGTTCACACAAGATAAAGCATATTTCGCTATATTGGTGATGATGTTAGTTTCTTCATATGGTATTGTCTTGTCTATTCTTGCAATCCTAGAATTGAAGGGAAAGATTTCTTTTTGGAGGATTTTTTTGGTCGGCATACGAAGAAAATGAGGGTATGCATTTGTGTTCCCTGTTTGGTGTAACAAATTTAATGATTCTGAAAATAGAAAAATAATTTCTCACCCTTTTTTTGTGTATGACATGGTATTATGCAAAAAAAGAAAAAAGAAATAGTTTAGAATATGTAATAATCAAACTTTCCTATCTTGAATTCTCTTTCAGAGAGGCATAGTGGAGATAGTGCAACTTTTACTATTAGCTGTGAGTTCTTTAAATGGTTGATGAGTAAAGCAAACTATTACAAATTTTTTATTTCTTGAACTTTAAGTGTAGGCATGTGGAAAAATGTAACAACACCTTCATCCACTTACAAGCCAAGCCTTAAAGCCACTCCAAATCCTTCATTTTTGAAAGCTAATCTATGCTATATAAATTATAACCAAAGTATTCATCTGCATTAATCAAATCAACCAACTTCAAACAGGAACAAAAAATATGGAAAACAAATTCTTCTTGGTTTTCTTACTTTGTTTGCTGATAGTGGCAAATGGAGTTTCAGGAAGCATGATGTGTGACAACAACAACTTTGGCATGCTTGAAGAACTCAACAAGTTGGACGCAGAGGAAGAATATGAGACAGAAGAACTTTCTGACATGCCTTCATGGACAAGCCAGCGCGGTGGAAAGGTTCTTGTCAATGTTGATAGCTTTGGTGCTGCAGGAGATGGAGAAACCGATGATACTGAGGTAAAGTTCTTTCCTTATTCGCAAATTATACACATTTGAGGTTGTTGAGCATATGCAACTGTTTTATTTTTTTCTACATTAATCGATTGTGATTTATAGGCTCTTCAAAAAGCATGGGGAGTTGCTTGTTCTACATCAAAAGCTGTTCTATTGGTTCCACAAGGACGCCGTTACCTTGTTAACGCAACGAAATTTATAGGGCCTTGTAAAGACAATTTAATCATCCAGGTAATGCATGCACAAAAGGATTATTTAGTTTATCGGTAACTCATCGTTACGATTACTGACTTGGTATTTGCTTTTCTCCAGATTGATGGAACATTGGTTGCCCCAGATGATCCTAAGAGCTGGGATCCAAAACTTCCACGAATTTGGCTCGATTTTTCTAAATTGAACAAAGCTGTTTTCCAAGGCTCTGGAGTTATCGATGGCTCAGGAAGTAAATGGTGGGCAGCATCTTGCAAAAAGAACAAGACTAATGTACAATTTTTCAGAACTATTTTTTATCTTCGTTAATTATTTTACATGTTTATAAAAAAAATTAATGTTGCAGACAATAATATAGTTTTTTTTTCCTTTCCACACAGCCTTGCAGAGGTGCACCAACAGTAAGAACAAATTCCTTAATCACTATTGTATTATATTCAAAATTAGCGCTGAAAATGTAATTTTAACTTTGAAGGGTTATTATTCATTGCAGGCATTTACCATTGATACAAGTTCAGGTATAAAGGTGAAAGGTCTAACTATCCAGAACAGCCAACAGATGCATTTTACGATATCGAGATGCGATTCTGTTCGAATTTTAGGAGTGAAAGTGTCTTCACCAGGAGACAGTCCAAACACTGACGGAATTCATATTAGCGAATCAACAAATGTCATTGTCCAAGACTGCAAAATCGGAACAGGTTCTGAACTTAGAATCAACATGTTTATGATTGAGTTGCACGGTCCTAATGAAATGCTAACACACCGAAACATTGACTATTTGTATGTTATAATCAGGGGATGATTGCATTTCAATTGTGAATGCTAGTTCTAATATCAAAATGAAGAGAATTTATTGTGGACCGGGTCATGGAATCAGGTATCATCAAATATTCATCCCTCAATTTAATCAATTACGTGACTTGTGCAAACATAAGATATCAAACTCAAAGTTAAAAGTAAATTCATTAGGTTTCTAGAAAACCCAATTAGGTAAAGTAGTTATTTCTTTTCTATAACACTATATTTTTTGCCAGCATTGGAAGCCTTGGTAAAGACAACTCAACTGGTGTTGTCACAAAAGTGATTTTGGATACAGCATTTATAAAAGACACCACTAATGGTGTCAGAATTAAGACTTGGCAGGTAAAGTTTTCTATTTCCATCTCAATAAAATTTTGGCAAAAATATTTGCTTTGCATCATCATTAATTAGTTTTGTTCATGGCATGTAGGGAGGTGCTGGATATGTTCGAGGGGTACGCTTTCAGAATGTGAGAGTCGAAAATGTATCAAACCCAATTCTTATAGATCAATTTTACTGCGATTCACCAACATCATGTCAAAACCAGGTACAGAAACCAGGACAGTCTCAAGTTTTTGGAGACTCTCTGTAGTTCAGTCGCAGTCTAATCATGAAAAAATAAACAAAGATTATATTTAACCATGACAAACATTTTGTGAGACCATATTTATCTAATGTTTGATTGTGATTAGTTTTGGGCCCAGGGCACTAGCTTGCCTTGCACGCCTTCAAAGACGGTCTTGCAGAAAACCAAAACATATAAACTTTTTGTTCATATGAATTCTCACTTGTATAATATGATATAATTTCAGGAATCAGCTTTGGAGATAAGTGAGATAATGTACCAAAACATAAGTGGGACTACAAATAGTGCTAAGGCCATTAAATTTGATTGTAGTGACAGTGTTCCATGCAGCAAATTAATCCTAAGCAATGTTGATTTGGAGAAACAAGATGGCACAGTTGAAACATATTGCCATTCAGCTCAAGGATTTGGATATGGTGTAGTTCATCCTTCTGCTGATTGCCTTAATTCCAATGATAAAATCTCTCAAGTTCATGAATCTCAATCTATTACTTCTCAAGATGATGATGATGACATTCGTCACACCGAATTATAATTGAACATCGTCTCTGTGAAAATCGGAGAGTTAAGACGAAAAAATATACAATAACCTTTTGATTATAGTTTAATACATCAAAAGGGGTATAGCTATTATAGTGGTCGTATGTTTGGGATGAGGTCAGAGACAAATTAAGGGATATAATATTGAATGATTAGGAATTACATTGAAGATTAAGAAGAAAAAATATATCAATTTTAGAATATTGATTGATATAGATTTTTATTTTACTATTGTGAAAGTTTGCATAGTGATATTTTATGAACTTTTGTGTTTAAATTTGTGTAACTTCTTGAGTTGATTTTTGTTGATATAATATAATCTTAGTAAAAGTTTGACTTGTGTGATAGTGAAATGGGATATTTTTCTTCTTTTAACTTATACTTTTTAAATGTGAAAGTGAGTAAAAAATAGACACTAACAAGGACAAGAATTCACGTTTCTAACCCTCATCTCTCATACTTTTGAGTCAAAAATCACTCGATGAAAGAGTTCAAATTAAGGGTGTTCAAAAATAGGAATATCTCAATTGTATAATTGAATTAAACTGCATTTGCACAATAAAATTTTTTGAATAATTTAAATGGTTAATGAACTGGACCATTTAAATAGTTAATGAAGTGAACCATTCAAATAAAACAATTTAAATTCAGTTTAAAATCGGTTCAGAACCAATTTTCTTTTATAAATTGGTTTAAATATATAAATTAATTAGTTTTTTTTTCGAAAATATTAAAGTCGATTTTTTTCGGAAATATGAAAAAGTCGAGTTTTTTTAAAAAACATGAAAAAGTTGAGTTTTTCCGAAAATATGAAAAAGTTGAGTTTTTTTTTTCGGAAATATGAAAAAATCGAGCTTTTTCGAAAATATGAAAAAGGCGAGATTTTTCAAAAATACGAAAAAGTCAAGTTTTTCAGAAATATGAAAAATTCGAGTTTTTTTTTTAAAATATGAAAAAGTCGAGTTTTTTTTCGGAAATACGGAAAAGTAGAGTTTTTTTTTTGAAAATATGCAAAAATAGAGTTTTTCCGAAAATATGAAAAAATAGAGTTTTTTGGGAAATATGAAAAAGTCGAATTTTTTCAGAAATATGAAAAAATTGAGTTTTTCGGAAATATGAAAAAGTCGAGTTTTTTTCGGAAATATGAAAAATTCGAATTTTTTTGAAAATATAAAAAACTTGAGTTTTTATTGAAATATAAAAAAGTCGAGTTTTTTTGGAAATATGAAAAAGTTCAGTTTTTTCGAAAATATTAAAAATCGAGTTTTTCTGAAATATGAAAAAGTAGAGTTTTTTTCTTAAACATGAAAATGTCGAGTTTTTTCAGAAATAAGAAAAAGTCGAGTTTATTCGGAAATATGAAAAATATCGAGTTTTTTCAAAAATATGAAAAAATCGAGTTTTCCCGAAAATATGAAAAAGTTGAGTTTTTTTTCGGAAATATAAAAAAATCGAGTTTTCTCGGAAATATGGAAAACTCGAGTTTTTTTTCTTCTTCCGGAAATATGAAAAAACAGTTTTTTCAGAAATATGAAAAAGTCGAGTTTTTTTGAAAATTTGAAAAAGTCGAGTTATTTGGAAAATATGAAAAAGTCGAGTTTTTCAAAAATATGAAAAAGTCGAGTTTTTTCATAAATATGAAAAAGTCGAGTTTTTTTGGAAATATGAAAAAGTCGAGATTTTCCGGAAATATGAAAAAGTCGAGTTTTTTTATAAATATGAAAAAATCGAGTTTTTCATAAATATAAAAAAGTTGAGTTTTTTCGGAAATATGAAAAAGTCGAGTTTTTTTCCCCCAGAAATATGCAAAAGTTGAGTTTATTAGGAAATATGAAAAAGTCGAGTTTTTTCATAAAGATGAAAACGTCGAGTTTTTTTTTCCAGAAATATGCAAAAGTCGAGTTTATTAGGAAATATGAAAAAGTCGAGTTTATTCGAAAATATGAAAAAGTCGAGTTTTTTCAGAAATATGGA